CAAAATCTATTCCTTCTTCTTGGCAGTATCCCTTGGCTACCAGCCTAGCCTTATTCCTTACAATATTGCCTTCTTCATCTGCTTTGTTCTTGAATACCCACTTGGTTCCAATGACATTCTGATGTTGAGGTCTAGGAACAAGTTCCCATACTTTGTTCCTTTCAAACTGAGTGAGTTCTTCTTGCATTGCATTGATCCAATCTGAGTCTGCAAGAGCTTCTTCTACTGTCATAGGTTCCATCTGAGATATGTAGCAGGCAAGCATTGCTTCTCTCCTTGTTGTAACAGATCTGGTTTGTACTCCACTTCTGATCTGTCCTATCACCTGGTTTGGGGGATGATCCTTTAACCAAGTTAGGTCAGGTTCTGATAAGTGTTGTCTTGGTCTCTCTTGCTCTTCTTCTGGTTCTTCATCACTATCCTTATCTTGTAGAATGTGATTCTGAAGGTGGATTGGTATGGCAGAGTTGTTGACCACTTCTGAGGTTGTTACTTTAGGTGTTTCTTCTAGATTCAATTTCTCCAAGTTCTCTGTTATGTTCTCAACAACGTTGAGATCATCAAACTTGACATGAATCGATTCTTCAACAAGTAGGGTCCTTTTGTTGAGTATTCTGTAGGCTTTGCTTGTGCTGGAGTAGCCTAAGAATATTCCTTCATCAGCCTTTTCTTGGAACACTTTGAGATGTTCCTTTCCATTATTGAGTATATAGCATTTGCCTCCAAATGCATGAAAGTAGCTGATGTTAGGTTTCCTTCCCTTCCAGAGCTCATAGGGGGTCTTCTGATGAGTTTTGTGAATCATGCTCCGGTTCTGGGTGTAGCATGCAGTGTTGATAGCTTCAGCCCAGTATCTGTAAGGCAGACCGGATTCAGCAATCATTGTCCTTGCAGGTTCCTTGAGTGTTCTATTTCTTCTTTCTGCAACTCCATTCTGTTGAGGAGTTCTGGCTGCAGAGAGTTGATGCATTGTTCCATTTTGATCACAGAACTCTTGTATGACTTTGTTGACGAACTCTGTTCCTCTATCTGATCTGATAGATTTGACTTTCTGGTTCTGCTCATTCTGAAGTAGTTTCAACAGAGATGGTAGTTTCTGCAGAGTTTCATTTTTCTTCTTCAGAAAGATTGTCCAAGTGTATCACCACTTCACTTACTCCAGTTAGTTTGAGACGCCCCTTTTTTTTCAAGAAGTGTTTGAATCAAGATCAGTTTTCTCCAACGTTGCTTCTTCACAAAGGATGTGTAGATGAAGTTTTCGAAGTGTTGAAGAACTGAGGAACTTTGCAACTTGCTAGTTGGATGAGAGATAAGAAGGTATATCTTCCAACTTGAGCTTTTCTTGTTGAGGTAAGTGAATCTTTGATCTCAAGAAAGCTTGGAGGTATTTGATTTAGAGTAGAATGATCTGAGCAAGTTCATCTGGCAAACGTTGTAGCAAAGTTATCCTAGTAGTTCTTCAGAGTGTATCTTATATACTGAGGGCAGTCTTCCCGTTGGAGTGTAGAAGACAACTTCATTAAATGCTTGTACTGTTGACTTGACCGGTTGGACCTTCGACTTGCTATTTTGGGGGCGCGAAGATACTCGCATGGTCAATCATCAGCTTTAAATATATCTTCGTACGTACATCATTAATTGAGCATTTAATGCGTGTACAGTACCATGTTCCCGTTGAAAGGTTCGTAGCCGTTAGGGGATTTCCCGTTAGTTTAACGACCGTTGGTAAGTGCCTTCGAGTTCTGCAAGGTGCGAGCTTGTCTGATGAGGTTTTCTGATCAGAACTCTGATGGCAGCTTCTGATGCCAACTCTGGTATCCAACTCTGATGGCTTCTCTGGAGAGCAACTCTGGGAGCAACTCTGGTAGAAGTTCTGATAAGGAAGACCAAGAGGGTTTCTGGCATGTCGACTATTCTAGTACATACAAAGACAAATTCTAACACAAAATTTCTATTGGGGTACTTTCAAATACTAATCAACCTAGCATCATCAAAATCTAATTACATTTATTCCTTACAATGTAAACGTTCAATTTTCGGTTGAACCTTAAAAAGTGCACCTTCGCCGTACAAGGAGGGAAGTTTATTGGCTACATGGTTAGCCGAAGGGGTATTGAGGCCAACCCCGAGAAAATCCAGGCCATCATCAACATGGAGCCCACATGCAACGTGAAAGAAGTTCAAAGGTTGACGGGTCGCTTGGCAGCCCTCAACCATTTTCTCTCTAAATCAGCGGAGAGAGCCCTCCCCTTCTTCCAGATCATGAGGGAGACAACCGGATTCCAATGGATGACAGAGTGTCAGGAGGCCTTCGACGAATTGAAAAGGTACTTATCCTCACCCCCTGTGCTCTCCAAGCCCAAAGTGGGAGAGACCTTATATCTTTACCTTGGCGTTAGCTCTGCTGCCATCAGCTCGGTGCTAATCCGGGAGGAAGACGACATCCAACATGCCATCTTCTATGTCAGCAAGACCCTCAGGGAAGCGGAACTCAGATACTCCCCTGTGGAGAAAATGGTGCTAGCCATCGTTTGGATCGTCAAGAAGTTGGGCCATTACTTCCAAGCCCATCCAGTCCAAGTGCTCACACACCAACCCCTCAGCGCCCTCATGAGGAACCCCACAAGTTCCTCAAGGATGGTAAAATGGGTCATCTTGCTCAGCCAATACAACATTGACATCCGTTGAGGCCTGCCATGAAGGGCCAAGCACTAGCGGACTTCGTGACGGAATGCACGACGAGATCGGCGGTGAACGAGGAGCCCTCGGCACCCTTGGACGAATGGTGGACCCTCTATACCGATGGATCCTCGACTACCAAAACATGCGGAGGAGGCGTAGTCCTCATCACACCCGAGGGCTTCTGGGCCTATTACGCCATCAGTTTCTCTTTCAAGGTCTCCAACAACGAAGCGTAGTATGAGGCCCTTCTCTGTGGCCTTCGGCTAGCAGCAAACCTGAAGGCCAAACAAATCCATGTCAAATGTGACTCCAAACTTGTCGTACGACAAATTTCGGGGGAATATGAGGCCAAGGAAGGAAGGATGAAGCAATACAAGGAAGCAGCCAATGAGTTGCTCAAGGTATTTGAGGCACACTCCCTCACTCAAATACCGAGGTCTCAAAACTCTGAGGTTGACATTTTATCAAAACTCTCGACTGAATCCCCTGTGCACCTCTCAAAGATCGCAAGGATCGAGGAGCTCAGCCTCTCAAGCACACATGCAAGCCCCGTCATGGACATACACCTAAGGCTGGAGGATTGGATCTCCAACATCGTTACCTTCATCACCACAGGGTAACTGCCCGAGGATGAGGCTCGCGCCAAACTAGCAAAGCTGAGGGCTCTCATCTACACCCTCGAGAACGGGAGGCTCTACAAACGATCTTACAATGGCACCCTACTTCGGTGCCTTCACCAGGATGAGGCCGAGGTTGCAATGCAGGAAGTGCACAGTGGCACTTGCTCAGCTCACCAGGGACCCTTCTCCATGTCCCGAAGGCTCATAGTCCAAGCCTAGTTCTGGCCTACAATGGCCCGGGATTGTGCAAACCTAGCCCGAAGGTGCACTGCATGTCAACACTTTCAGAAGGCCCCCGGCCGACCAGTGGTCAACTATGCCCCCAGCAGCATGTCTGTACCCTTCTCCAGATGGGGCATTGACCTAGTGGGCCCTCTGCCGAGAGGTACTTCCAACAACAGGTACATCATTGTGGCCAATGACTACTTCACCAAGTGGGTGGAAGCTGAGCTCCTCACCAGCATCACCGAGGCCAAGTGCCATCATTTCGTTCTCAAGAACATCCTCACAAGGTTTGGCGTCCCCCAACAAATCATCTCCGACAATGGAACTCAGTTTGAAGCAGCCCCCTTCTGTGCCCTCCTTGAGGCATGGAGCATCAAATACACCTTCTCATCAGTTGCCTACCCTCAGGGCAACGGCCAGGTGGAGAACGCCAACAGAACCTTACTCGAGGGGTTAAAAAAGAAACTTGAAGCCGAAGGAGGAGGTTGGGTAGAAGAACTTCACAACATCCTATGGGACTACCACATCACCTCTAGGCGAGCAACGAGCGAGACATCCTTCTCCATATGCTATGGCTTCGAGGAAAAGGCTCCCACTGAAGTAACACTCCCCACCCGAAGGGTAGACCAATATGAACCTGAAGTCAACGATGCCAACATGGCCCTCGACCTTCACCTCATCTCAGAACGCCGAGAGCAAGCCTTCCTAAGGGTGGAGAACTATCGCGACAAGTGAAAGGCTACATCGACGCCAAGATTCGTTCCCGATAATTTCAAGTGGGGGACTACGTCCTCCGGAGAAGGGAGGCTAGCCAACCTACCGAAGGTGAAAAAATGGCACCAAAGTTTGAAGGCCCGTAGATCATCGCCGCCATCATCAAACCAGGAACATACAAGCTAAAACGCCCTAATGGGACCGAAGTCCCTAGGCATTGGAACGTACACCACTTAGTCAAATTCTATCAGTAACATATGAGCGGCCAAACCCTCATCACTTATGTATTTCATCAATGGCCCAAGGCCCCCTCTTCCTCAGAAAAAATAAATATATGTTCAAACACAAAGTACCAAGTGTGAAAGGCATATGAGCGGCCAAGCCCTCATCTCTCAACTATATAGGTGATCAACGGCCCAAGGCCCCTTCCTCTCATGAGGATGAATACAATATAACATCATTACACAAAGTACCAAGTACAACGTGCGCGAAATCCACCCGCCACTCTTAAAAGCACCAAGTGTTTTTAAGCAAGCCGTTCCCCTCGAGGACGCTCCCATGCATATATTGTTTCATGCATACTTACACATACATACATATTTAAAAAAAACGGGGGGGGGGGGGGACAATACCCCTCAGCTCTGGCAGGCACCAAATGCCCCCGGCCATTTGTGTTTTATACACAAATAAAACCCTTCCCTGAAATGCTTTCCGCACCATCCCTCGAGGGGAGGCAGGCAAAGGACCATGTCCCGGGCCCAGGATTCGACTTTCAAAAACGAAATGCTCCCCGCGCTATCCCCCAAGGGGAAGCAGGCAACAGACCATGTCTCGGGGTGAGGGGACGACTTTCAAAACCGAGGCGTTTTCCGTGTTATCCCCCAAGGGGAGGCAGGTAACAGACGATGTCTCGGACCGAGGAAACGACCCTCAAACCCCTCGGGATCCCGAAGGTCAGTCCCCGAGGGGGGAGCCAATGGTTTATTCCGTTGCCTCCCGTATAGGCCAAGCCTTCCAAGAAACCAAGTTTCTTGATGCCCCTCCGACAATAAAATAAAAAAAATGTGTGTAGGGGGGAAGGAACTCCCTGGATTCCATACTCCCGGAGGCTCTTCAACAGAAAACAACACCACGGAGACAATTTACCGAAGGCTTCTTGTTCACAAGATTAAAGGATCACAAGGGTTATTCACCCAAAGAGAAGCCCTCAACCTCACAAAAGCTTTGGGAAATTACCGAAGGGTTCATACCGGCGAAATTTACTCAAACAACATGGAAATTTGGTTAAGTCCACATTTTACATCCCCTCGGGTGAAAACTCCCAACAACGCAAAATTGAGGCCACAAAACCCCAAGTGAGCTACCACCGAAGGCTTCAACCTTATAATATATGAAAGCTCAGCACAAGGCGAGGGTTGGGATATTTCTACACATCCAGCTAAGGTGAACTTCGCCTAAGTCTACCAAAAGCCGAAGGCAACCCCATGGAACTCCCATAAATCTTCCTAAGTCCACAAATTAAGGAGGTTCGAAACACCACCTGAGGGGAGACTGAACACCGAAGGCAAGATTTCACCAAATTCCTTCCAAGGGGGCCTAATCTACATGAAGGCTCAATGTTCGAAGGCCTAACTTTTCTAACTTGCTGGGTCCACTAAATACCGAAGGCATAACCTTGCAAAAGGGCACTTGGCTCATTAAGGCCGAGGGGTGATCAAATGGTCTATTGCAACAAGAATGAAATTTTTCTAAGTCCACACAATAGGACCCATCGGTTTCCCAAGAAGGGTCCCCCTGTTTCTTATAAATGAAGGCAGAACTCTACCGAGGGCTCGTAGGTGAATCGTACTTTGAAAAATTTCAATGTCCTCAATTATCAAGGCCCCGGAGAAATCACTACAAGATGAGGGCAGTCCAATGCTATACTTACCGGGGTCTATCAAAGGAATGGTTTGCCCGAGGGCTCCACTGTGGATTTTTACTTGGAAGAATTCCTAAGTACGAAAATATTTGGCCTACGACCAGACGCGCACAACAAGAACAATATAAAGCATTCATTCACAGAGGTAAAGAGAGATGAAGGCATTCATACATTACACCGAAGGCATCAATATCACATTCATTCAAAACGTATTCAAGTACAAAAGGTATGTCATTTACACATGAGGCTGAAGCTGAGGAACTACAAAGCTATTACAAAGAAAATACTAAGGAAAGATTTCAAAGCTTGAGCAACGTCCTCGCCGCCATCTTTCGGCTTTGATCCGGCTTCATCTTTGGCATCATCATCGTCATCACTGCCCTCTTACATAAGCTTCGAGTCCTCAAGATTTGGCCGCTCGACACCCAGAGGGAGGGGGGTCCTGATATCTGGTTGCAGGAGAGGGAGACCGTAGGCAGACAGGTCGAAGTCCTTTGGCTCAACGCTATAATGCCGGGCTAGCCTACTGTAGACGAGGGATTGAGTAAAGAACTCGCCGCCATCATAATACGCCTTACCCCTCCGGGCCAACCATTCAGCGCCGGGGCCACCAACCCAGTCGTCGATGGTAGCCTCCACCACCGAGGCCAGCCATTGCTTCCACTCATCGGTCTTCCACCCCTCGACGGTGAAAGTGACAACTGCATCCTTCTCAGCCTGGGTTACCGCTTTCTTTTTGGCGGTATCAGCCTCGGCGGCAGCCTTCTTAACTTCCTCGGCGGCGGCCTTCTCAGCACTGGCCTTGCCCTTAGCCTTGACCTCTTTCAGCCTTTACTTCATCGCCTCGTAGCCAGTCGGAGGGTCTCCTCCAGCTCCACCATCTTCCTAGCATAAGTGGCATTCTGGGTGACGAGCTTCCTCAGAGGCTCGTCAGACTCTGCCTTCTAGAGGCGCAATCGTTCCACCCTCCGGATATGCTCCCCGAGGGCCACACTAGCCTACAAACAAACAAATAAAGACAAGGGTCAGATCATTACGCGAAGAGCAACCAAGACAAATGGATTAAGGGAGAATAAAATATCGATACTTGCAGTGTCTGAGGCTTGAGAGCCGATCTATCCAACGGAGGGGTGGCACCATTGAGGAACTCTCTTGGGTCCAGGGTGCCGTGCACAATGGCAGTCCCCTCTTTAAAGGAGAACTGCACAGTCTTCCGGGGCCATTCCCCCTCACCGATCTGATCCGAAGGGGGACCAGAAATAGGCGCCACTACCACCGGGGTGCCAGAGGATGAGTGGCCTTTGAAAATTACAACCGGAACACCTTTAGCACCGGTGGCCTTTTTAGCTCTCTTGCCAGGGGCCGCGGCGCCTTTTCCCAGTGCTTTCCTCTTTGCAGCGTCAGTTTGGAGGGCCCCGACTTCAGCACCAGAGGCGAGGTCTACTATCTTTGAGGGCCCCTCCTCCCTCGGAACTTCAGCAGCCTCTTCCCTCAGGAAGAATTCATCGACAGGCCTCTGCTGGGAGGACACCTCCTTCTTCTTTTTTGGCTCCTTGGCCAACTTCTTCTTCAGGTTGGCGTGGGCCTTCAAATCCATGGTGGGTCCTGCAAGACAGGAAATTATTACAATCAAGACAATCAAAAGCAAAGAAAACACAAGTACAAAATGAAGAGCCCTCGACATGCACTTTCGGCGCTCTCGTATACTCGGTCTATCGGGGGATACTTTTCATCTTTCCCCCCATTAGCCGGAACCGTCGGAAGCCTGACAGATAGAGTTCATCCGGGAGAGTGGCGTCCTTGATGGTCTTCAATTTATCGGAGGCCGCAGGCTTAACCGTCAGTTTCTTCCCCTCTTTCGCGAGGGCAGCATTCACGGAGAGGGGCAGGGAAAGGATTCTCCGCCATGCGGATGAAGCAGAACTTGTCCTTCTAACCCTTGTGGGATGAAGGCACCTCGGATAAAAGCCTCCACTCCGGAATTTGCTGAAGGTTGGCAAAGCCCCCAACATTTGAATGTCCCCTTGGTAGAGATTGAAGGAGAGGAAAAATTGGTCTAAGGTGGGATCTACTTGTAATACCTGAGATTTAATTTAAACGGATTAATAGTACTACTCATACCAACAAGTTGCATCTCCTTTTAAGCGTGCTTGCACGGGAGTAGTCTTGGGATGAGTGACCACTTGGGAAGTTTGTCAGGGCGCGCATGAGTGAGGACAAAGTGCGCGTAAAAGGCTAGTGGCGGTTTGTGAGGACAGTACTAGAGGTCAGAAGTAACTACCTCGGGGCCTACAGGGTCGGGGTGTTACAAATGGTATCAGAGCAGCCCTGCGACAGTGTGCTAATCCGTTGGATATCGGGCGGGCACTTAGCAGGGGAAAAGATTCTGGGATATGATTGAGATTGGTTTATGGGCACAACGAGGACGTTGCGTTCCTATGTGGGGGTGATTGTAATACCGGAGATTTAATTTAAACGGATTAATAGTACTACTCATACCGACAAGTTGCATCTCCTTTTAAGGGAGCTCATCACCCAAGAAATTTTGCACAAACAAAAATTGTTTGTGAACGGAACTCATGGACAAAAAAAGCTTTCACAAACATGAGTGTATATAAAAGTGGGTATAAGAGTAAGTACAAACATATTTTGATTTCAATATATCACGATATTACTGTAATAATATAGCCTTGGTCCCTAGGCCCTACTGCCCTAGCCTACTATAAAAAGAGAACTAGAAGTAAATACAGAGTAATAAAATAATAAAACAACTAGTTTGAAAAATGAAAATCCCTAAAATCAACTAAAACAATTAGTAATAGTAAAGGTATTTGATAATTCCAATACTTAAAGCCTGCTACTCAATTAGGCGTGCGACTCATCACTCACCGCCTTACCTGCTTTCAGTCTCTCCATTCAATTGTGGGCCTGCATAGTTTTTAGTTTTTTACAATTAAAATTGAATGTATCTATATAATACTAATAGGCCTATTTTAAAAATTGGAGGCCCCTAAATCTTTGAGGCCCTAGACAGTTGTCTAGGTTATCTCCCCATATGGCCGGGCCTGTCTAATATGTTGGTCTTTGTGCCAAAATATTCGTATGAGCCAAAATTTATTTTCATATAGCCACTATTATATACTCCGTGATGACCAAAGCTAAACATATAAACTCTATTATCTTTTTATATTTGATAAAAATACACATCATGTATCTTTGGTATCAGAGCTGATGGTTGAAGATCGTGAATCGACTGTCGGTGACCAAGAAGCGGAGACTGCAGAGGTGCTGGTTCGTGGGCTGATTGAGAAAGCTCTTAGGCTGGTGTGGGCGCGGCTTACAGACCTTGAGACCTCAAGGGTAGACCTTGTGAACGAACTGGATGCACGTTTGGCAGAGAACGAAGTTTTGAAGTCAGAACTTGTGGTTTTGAAGAGGGCTCTTGCAGCGGGACCGGGTCCAAGCGTTGAAGTATGTTCTTCAAAGATCAAAGTGCCGGAGCCGAAGACCTTTGGTGGTGAACGTAATGCCAAGGAACTTGAGAACTTTCTGTGGGATATGGAAGAATACTTTAAAGCCGCAAAGGTGCCTGACGAAGAGAAGGTGAGGATTGCACCCATGTACTTGTCTGGTGATGCAAAGCTTTGGTGGCGAAGTAGAGTAAAGGACGACGCTAATACGGGAAGACACGGGCTTGAGTCATGGGAGGGGCTCAAGAAGGAATTGAAGGGTCAATTCCTTCCCCACAATGTCTCTTGGATGGGCAGAGAGGCCTTGAAGAACTTGAAACACACCACATCGGTAAGGGATTATGTCAAGGCGTTCTCATCGATCATGTTAGACGTTGAGAACATGACCGAAGAGGACAGGCTGTTCAATTTCGTGTCTGGACTGCAGCCATGGGCCCAGACAGAATTGAGGAGGCAGGCTGTGAAGGATTTGCCGAGTGCCATGGCAGCGGCCGAAGGACTCATTGTCTGATGGGTCCAAGGGGGACAAGGGCAAGGGAGAATCATGCATTTCCGGTTCAAGGGGGAAGTTGAAGTGTGACGACATCAGTGTGGCAACGGAAGCGAGTGTGACTAAGGCAAAGTCCAAGGCTGGTTGTTGGGGGTGTGGCGCTCAGCACTTGCAGCGGAACTGTCCTGAGAACCAAAAGTTGGCTGCCTTGAAGCAAGTGGAGTTCGAGGAGGATTCTGCGTTGGTGACATTGAATCCCTCGCGTTTGGTTTGATGACACCGTGAAAGTCATCAGGGGCACTGTGCGTGTGGACAATGCATGTGCCAAGAGGGGCGTGGACTTGGCATAGGTTGCAGGCGTGGGACGTCGGGCAATCGCATTGGCATTGCTTGGGTATGGCAGTGCAGGACCGAAGGTCGTGGAGACGCTAAGGTTCGGTGGCATGCTTTTCAGAAGGTGTCACGATGATGGGTCAAGCGTACACGGGGTTGTGCGGGTTGGACATCATATTTTTGGCGAAGCACACAAGGGAGTGGGGCGTTCACCAAAACTGTTGACTGTGGGTCAACGTGTTGCTAGTTGGATGGGATCCTTTGGCAACGGAGCGGGCATGCTCAACATTTGGACTTGGGATCATGGGCCAGATCTAAGTTCAAGGCACTTGGAACGTGGGAGGGCGTCAGTGCGTGAGGCTGATCAGTGGCACGACTGGGACTGTGCAGAATGATGCAGCGTGGTCCGGCGACACACAGGGGTGTGAAGAGTTGTGTTGGCATGGGTATTGTCAATGCGGAGCGGAAGGCTCAAAGCACATGGGATGTGCATATGCTGACAACGGTGCAAGGGCTTGTAGTCGTTGGGCAGCGAGGCTCAAGTGATCATGCGAGGGAGTGTGATGCACGGCGGGGCTTGGCAGCGTGGAATTGAAAACCTAGCAGTTGGGGTTGTCAATTGCAAGTGAATTAGTTGCCTGCGGCAGGAACTAATTGGAAACCTCGGATGCTGAAGTGTGTCGAAGAGGGCGTCAACTTCATTTGGTGGGGGAGGTTTGTTAGACCCCTTTTTGGCGGGTCTATATCGAGACATCACATTGGCTCGATAGGGTGGCTTCGGGGCATGGGATGCGGCCAAAGTCATCATGGCGGGGCGTTGCCAAGGCAAAGGCGTTGCCGGGGCGTGGCTGTCCTTGGGCAGTCACGACTATTGGGAGTTCAGTGGCAACGAGGGTTGGTTGACCGGTTGACAAGTGGGACTTGGGCAAGCTGGGCGCAAGGCAACGAGGGTTGGTCACGAGTTCAAGGGAAAGAGTTGACTCATGAGTGGTCTGGGTTAGGCCGCGGCATGAGGGCAAGCTCGAAGGGTTGTGTCGGTTCGGTGCTGGCATGGCTCGAGTCTGCAAGGGGGCATGGCATTGGCGAACGGGTGCCTTGGGGCGAATCGGTGGCAAGGCAGATGAGGGCTCCGGGCGAACAGGTGCTTTGGGCGAACGGATGGCTGCGGCATTGGCGGTTACCAACTGCCACTCGCGAAGAGACACGTCCCTTCAGGCTAGGCAGTTGGCTTGTAACTGCCAGACTCGGTCCAGTCTATAAATAGGCCGCGGCATACTGCCAGTTTTGTAGAGACAGTGCGTGGCAAGTGCATGTATAGTCCTCTGTATTATTTGAGTGATTAATACAAGGTTGGTCGTTGACCGTAAAGTGTGTGTGTGCCTTAAATATTCTCTAAGTGTTCTAAGTGTCCCTTAAACACAAGTAAACGTGTTTGTGAGTTAGGCTGACTATCTTAAGGGTTTATATATATTTAAAATAGTATTATATTCTAATTTATAATACACACTCCATAAAAATACTACTACGCCGAATTTGCTATAGTTAAGTATACCAATATAAATGTAAATAATGTAAATAAATATAACTAAATATACACACACATATATATACACATATAAATAGGCCGGCCTGTTAAGCTAAAAAGGCTTCTGAGTTAGGCTGGGTCTGGCCTGTTTAGATAAACGGGCTTTTTGAAAAGCCCAATCCTAGTTTGATTACTAAAAAGACCAGGCCAGGCCAGGCTTTTAACAGGCCAGGCCACAGGCCCCTGACAGGCCGCCAGGCCTATTTCCACCCCTATCCGTCACGAAGTCTGCCAGGGCTTGGTCCTTAATGGCAGGCCTCAGACGGATGTCTATGTTGTATTGGCTGAGGAAGATGGCCCATTTCACCATTCTGGGGGAACTTGTGGGGCTCCTCATGAGGGCGCTGAGGGGTTGGTGTGTGAGCACTTGGACCGGATGATCTTGGAAGTAATGGCCCAACTTCTTGACGGTCCAAACGATGGCTAGCACCGTTTTCTCCACAAGGGAATATCTCAGCTCTGCCTCCCTGATGGTTTTGCTGACATAGAAGATGGCATGTTGGATGTCGTCTTCCTCCCGGATTAGTACTGAGCTGATGGCAGCAGGGCTAACGCCAAGGTAAGGGTACAAGGTTTCCCCCACCTTGGGTTTGGAGAGCATAGGGGGTGAGGATAAGTACCGTTTCAATTCGTCGAAGGTCTCCTGGCACTCTGTTGTCCATTGGAAACCGGCTGTCTTCCTCATGATTTGAAATAAGGGGAGGGCTTTTTCCGCTAACTTTGAAAGAAAACGGTTGAGGGGTGCCAAGCGGCCCGTCAACCTTTGGACCTCCTTCACGTTGTGTGGGGGCTCCATGTTGATGATGGCCTGGATTTTTTCGGGGTAAGCCTCGATACCCCTTCGGCTAACCATGTAGCCTAGAAATTTCCCTCCTTGCACGCCGAAGGTGCACTTCTTTGGGTTCAACCAGAGGTTGAATTTTTGCATGAAGGCGAAGATTTCTCGAAGGTCCTCGGCGTGGCTGTTTGATTGTTTGCTTTTGACGATCATGTCACCAACATAAGCCTCCATCGTGCGCCCTAGGACGGTTTGAAAGAATCTAGCCACCATTCAGGTGTAGGTGGCACCTGAATTCTTTAGACTGAAGGCCATTACTAGATAGCAGAAGATGCATTCGGGTGTCATGAAGGCAGTTTTTTCGGCGTCTCCCTCAAGCATGTAGATTTAGTGATAACCTCAAAAAGCGTCGAGGAAAGACATGATTTCACACCCCGCCGTTTCATCCACCAGTTGGTCAATGTTGGGGAGGGGGAAAGGATCCATAGGGCATGCCTTATTCAGATCTGTGTAGTCCACGCACATGCGGAAGGTGGGTGGCTTCTGTGCAAGAACCACATTAGCCAACCATGAAGGGTATTTCACCCCCCGGATGTGTTTGATGGAGAGGAGCATGGCAATCTCTTTCTTCACGAAATCCCTCCTTTGGGCCAAGAGGGGCCTTCTTCTTTGTTTTATTGGTTTGGACAAAGGGTCCACCGCAAGACGGTGAGTGATGACCCTTCGGTGGATCCCCGGCATGTCCTCTGGCCCCATGCAAAAACAATGGAGTAGGCGTGGAGGGCTTCTGTAATGCCGGTCTTTAGGTCTTCGGGGAGCTTGGCTCCAATTTTCAAGACTCTCTCCGGCTTGGCCGGATCGAGTACAAAGTCTTCAGTTCCTTTGGCAGGTTCAGCCCTCGGCCTGCCTTCTTCCTCATTCAAGGCAGTGGTGATTGTATCAATGCGTAGCTCAGTTTTGCTAACTTTTTGGGTGAGTTGAAGGTAGCAAGCTCTGGAGAGCTTTTGATTTCCCCTTGAGTAGCCAATGCCGCCGGATGTGGGGAACTTGAGGCAAAGATGCCTCATGGAGATGACGGCTTCCAAATCCTCGAGGGCAGGGCGGCCGAGGATGATGTTGTGGGCACAATCGAGGTTGCGACGACAAATTCCACTTTGAGCTTGGCCCTGTGGAATCCATCACCGATTTCAACCAGTAAAGACATGACACCCTCGATGTCAATGATGTCCCCTGTGAATCCAGAGAGGGGTGTCTTGATCTGCCGGAGGGCTCCCATATCGAGCTCAAGCTCTCGAAAAGTGCTAAGATACATCACGTTGACAGAGCTACGCGTGTCGATGTAATTGCGGAGGATGACGGTATCATTGATCTCCGTCCGAATGATGAGGGCATCCCTGTGAGGAAAGGAACCCAGGGGCAGATCCGCATCTCTAAAGAAGATAGGATCCGCCCTTGACTTCTTAGCTGAGGGCATATGATTGACCTCCCCAACGTAAAGGAATTGGGCCCATTTCTTCCTTTGGCTTGTGGAGTCTCCACCGGTGTTGCCTACGGTGATCATGTGGATGTGGCGTTTGTACTGGTGATGTGGATCCTCCTCCTCACTGAGGTTCCCAATCTCACGCTTCTTCCCCTATGGATTTCCCAAGGGAATGTTGTTTGGGTTGACCCAGGTGTGTGCCTTTGGCGGGGGCTCTTGGTGATGAGGGGGTCCCTGAGGATGAGGGCCCTTGATAAATTGGGACAAGTGGCCCGCCTGTATCATCCTCTCGATGGCTACCTTCAGGTGATGGCAGTCATCAGGTCTGTGCCCTCGACGACGATGGAAGCGACAATATGGTTCGTCGGGGTTGATGGCATATACCTCCATAGGTGCACGAGAGTCTCTCTCCATGAGGCCTCTCTCCTCCGCATAGTCCAAGATGATGCTGATGGGATGAGTCAGAGGGGTGCACGGGTGTTCCAGGAGTGTAGGTTGTGGCCACGCCCTCGGATTGTTCTTGTAGCCGCCCCCGGGTCTGGCTTGGCCATTCCGGGGTCGGGTGTGATGTTGTGCTTCGCGATTCGCCAGAGGGGGTGGGCCCCCGAGGCGATTCCACCCTTCATGCCTTTGCGAAGGTTCCAGATTGCGGCGATCTCTTTTGATCTCCTCAGCTTTGGCATATCGATCCCCCTGCTGGAGGGCCTTCGTATAATCACGAGGAGGGTCAGTGATAAGGCTCCTGAAGAAATTACTGTTGCGGAGGACGGTGTGAAATAGGGCCATCAATGTCCTGTCGTCGGCGCCATCAACTTCGATGGAGGCCTGCCTCCATCGTTCCAAGAAACTCCGAATGGTCTCCTCCTTCTGTTGCTTTACATTCAGCAGGTGGGAGAAATGCTTCTTGGACTTGTGCCTCCCGGGAAATTGTGATAGGAAACGGTGGGCAAGTTCCTGCCATGAATCAATGATGCCTTTGGGTAACCGGTTGAACCATTCACACGCTGGTCCTTCCAAGGTGGAAAGGAACCAACGACATAAATATTCATCCGATGCTCCCATCATCATCATGCTATTTGGATACCTGCTATAGTGCTCCTGGGGATCCGTCTTCCCATCATATGGCTTTATGGGTTGTCCCCGATACTTACCGGGAATCTGAGCTGCCAACACCCTTGGGGTGAAAGGCGTCTTTGTGCGAAGCTGGATGAAGGGTTCGCCTGAGCCTTCAGCAAACTTCCGCCTCATGTCCTCCACTTGTGCCTGTAGGGCGGCGTAATTAGGGTCCAGCCCCATAGCGGATGCCGTCGGGGGCGTCTGACGTGCCTCCTCCAGTTGGCGCCACAGGGTCTCGATGATTTCGTCCTTGTGGTCCCTCGGGGGGGGGGGGGGTCCCTTGGGACCTCGCCTTGAATGATTGCGCGTGATTGATTTGGTGTCCGGTGTCATCTGCATGGAGGAGGCCCTTGCCTTTGTCCCGAGGGGGAGGTCTCTCCTCAGCCCCGAGACGGAGCCTCCACTTTCTTGTGGCCTGCTTGTTTCTTTCCCACCGAGGTGGTCTTGGACCTCGCGGCATTCCGGAGCTCCCCCCAGCCTCTCGAGGGAAGAGGTCCGGGGCTTCTCTTTGTTCACGCATCGCTTGTCTCGTGATTGGACCTCTTGGGAGGCGGTGTCTTGTGCCACTACCCCCTCGGCATTGCCAACCCGTATGATGGGATTGTTGAATGGAGGAGGCGGTGGGAAATGGACAATGTTTCCTCCATAGTGGGGTTGGAGGGGCACTTGTGATAAATGTAGTGATAAACAAAACATATACCTCCCACTGAAGTAGAAGCAGTTAAGGAAAGAAGCAGCACCAGAGGGAGCAAAAACAAAACATAAGCACGCCTGTGTGCATTACACGGCAAGTGAAGACTTGCAAGAATTCTTAGTTGCGGTTGAGGGCCAATGGACTCCAGAACAAGAATATACCTCCCACTGAAGTAGACTGGCCGAAGAAGAGAAAAGTAGATAAGGGAGAGAACTTTGGGTGGTAGGCTGAAGAGGAGGAGGCACCGAGGCAGAGTAGCGAATTAGTTTCCCCAAGTAAGATTACATAATAGACCTCACTGTTTGAGCGAGAGAAAGCTTAGCTCAAAAAAGATGACAGACTGCCCTTTGTGAGAGCTACTGAGGCATGAGGTGCGAGCCATTAAAGGCTTTGAATGGCAAGGGCAATTTCCTCTACCACTGCGGCTGAGAGAGACAGAGGAAACTACGTGAAACACTAAAACTATCACCATAGAGAACAAACCTAAGATACCCTGCTTTGTTTTTCACTTTTCATTCATCTATCTTTTGTTTTAGTTTTCTTGCTTAAGCAAGAGAGATATCAATTCAATATGAAGAATTGAAAAACAAAAAGGACGACTTAAAGTCTAAACCAACTACCATTAATATTTTTATAATTAACATTAAGAAAATTTTCAAATTGATATAGAAACTATATTAAGGATGCCAGAGCAGACCATACTAATAAAAGTATAAACCC